GTTTGCAGACTGGTCCTCATCGCTGTTGGGCTCGTCGCCAACTTGAGTCCACCAGTCCCTTTCCCACATGCTCGCTGCGGTCTTGGCCGTCAGGAGACAATGTAAAGTGCTCAACTCGTCGATATTCATGAGCGTCTGTAGTCGACCTTGAAAGGAGGTCTACCTTGGATTCCCAATTTTTCAACCTTCCATCCAACTTAGCCAACTCCTCATCCACCCGTGCTGCCAGGGCCTCGGTGCCTCCAACAGCTTCTCCACAGCCTGTAGCATTGAAGGTAGGTGCATATAGTAACGTTGAGTGAGCATCCAGCCGGCGATGGTGCTCCTTTTGCCTTATTTCTTGCTGACTGCAGGCTGCTTCTAGATCTCTGACTCGACCCTCCAACGACTCAAGCTTTGCAGCCATCATCGCTTCTCGTTGTCGGTCTTGGTCCACCTGCACACTGTGTGCCTGTGTCCTGGCCTGAATTTGCTCCAAGCATCCTCTGATTTCAAGCATCTCATTGTTCCACGTGGTACTTTGTCGTTCAATCACACCATGCTGCTCGCGCAAAGCCTCCTCTAAGGATCTCAAGCGATCTTCCATCGACATGCATCCTGAGAAGATATGGGAATGCCCTGTCTCAAGCGTGCCCATAGCCTGGCCAAGCAAATTGGTTCTGTAGTTCAAGCGATCGTTCACCTCTGTCAAAGCTGCACGAATGTCCTCCACTACCCCAAGATCAAACGATATGTTGTCCCGGAGGTTCTGCAAAAGATCGGCAGGTAATGTAACTTGGCTCATCGACCGAAAAACAACTTCACTGCTTCTGCTTTCTGCTGTGGCTGCTGCTGCTGCTGCTGTCTGCATGGTATTGTGCGGGCTTAGGGGGTTTGGGCTCATAACCTCTTGGAGGTTATGAGGATTATGAGGCCCAGGTGATGAGGAGGTTACAATGCTGAAGTGACTAGGGGTTGGGGAGAGCCTTTCACGTATAGTGTGAGGTACATCATCTAGAGGATTATACATCTCGATGATCCCTAGGAGGTCTCAAGGCCAGCCCAACACCCAATCAATCCCCAATCAACATCCCCGGCAACGGAAGTGCAACCCACAATGATTATCGCACTTCGCTCTCGTCCTCATGTTGCTTGAGCCAAACCCATATGGTTTGGTACACTTCTCGATTTGTGCTGGTCGTGCCTGCACACAACTTGGTACACTTCTTGATTTGTGCACCGAATGACCCGAAATTCCCCCCGGGTTTAGTTTAAGGGTTTTATGGTTTAGGGTTTTGGGGTTTAATAGAAATTGTATAGGGTTTGTATCTGGAGTTTTGTCGTATTTTGGGGGGTTTTGTTTCGAATTTTTATTGTAATGGTTTGGATTTCTGAGGGGTTGGGATAGAAAGGCTGGGGTTTCAATCGAGGGCGTTGCGGAAAGGTTGGGCTTGAGGGGGGGATCGGGCTGAGGTCGGGATAGAAGGATTGAGGGCTTTTGGGCTTGGGTTGAGTTGAGGAGGGGCTTAGGAGGGGGTGTTTAAGGGCTGGGGAGGGGTGTTGAAGGGAGGGGCAGGGAGGGGCTATTGAAGGGAGGGTTATTGAAGGGAGGGGTTATTGAAATGAATTATTGAAGGGAGGGGAATTATCGAAGTAGGGTGATTGAGGGATTATTGAGGATTGAGGGATCTTATATTTTGTTCGATTTTATGAGGTTATTTGGGGGGATTTGGAATCGGGGATGGTATTGTACTCGGTAACTTAAGTCGGCAACCTCGAATTGAAGGAGGGACCCTGATAAGGATCTAGGATAATATATTGGGAATTTGATTATATATTCAAATTCATACAATTATATTTCGAAATGGGGTAAGATCATAGATCGTAATCCTCGATAATCCTTAAATCCTGCCTTGAAACTATATCGTTCGCTCAAGCTCTTGCCAAATAAATTCGTGCCCACTACACGCATATCAGACCCTCGGATATCTATCTCGAAAATACTTGGATTTTTTGTTTGTCCATATTTCTTCAAAGCTCTAGCGTACGTCTTTTTCCACTCAATAGGTGCATGTACCGTCGACGGCGTCGATGGGATCCTTCTAATCTATAATAATGGAAGAGATTTATATTCCCAAAAATATTGTTTTATTTGGAGATTTTCATTGACAGAAATTCATATTCTTTATATAACCAAATTTATATACGATTGTAATTCCTAGACTTAGGAAAAAAGAAAGATCGAGAAATATCCAATTCGGAGATATTGATCGAATATTTTGATTGAAGATTCTTGATCGAAAATCAAATATTTTTTTGATAGGATCTTCAAGAAAATATAAATCGATATTATCGATGATATCTTTATTGAGATTTCTGGAAGGGGTAAATATAATATCTAAATACTTGACCTAATATTGTAAATGGCTTCTGCACACAAAAATAAGATTTTGAAATCCTTATTAAGATTCCTCGTTTTTGGATCCCACTAATAATCTAGATTTATAGAAATTGAACAAGGTTTGAGACGTCATAATATTTTGATGGGCGGGGGGGGGGGGTCGTAATATTGCCGAATCATTAATTTCTTGAAGACCCCCCCAAAAATTATGAAATAAGATCTAATATAGAAATTCGATCAAAAATTTCGGTCAATATATCATTGGAATCTAATTCTTATTTATCCTTTTTTGAGGATACCATAAATTACAAAATAAAAAATTCGATCATAATTATCGATCAATATATTCGATCAAGATTTTCGATTAATATCTTATTGGCACCTGGTATAATTTCTATAAAGCTAGATTGCTAATGGCCTCCGAAATGATAATATCGATTTGAATTATCTTAAGGCTTTTCCAAAAATTAAGAAAAAATTCCAAAACAACAATAGGCATAAGTCAGGTAAGAGAATCAAAAGGTAAGAGACTCAAAAGATTCGAAGGCTTGATTTCCCCCTAGCATCGTTTATGGGGGTAATTCTGGAATTCCCTTCTGGCCACACTCGTAAAATCGGAATTCCCTTACGAATGCCTATCGGAGTGTCTGGTCATATAGACAGAGTAATAGACAGAGTAGTCAGGCATAAGTCAGATAAGAGAATAGGCATAAATCAGGTAAGAGAATCAAAAGGTAAGAGACTCAAAAGATTCGAAGGTTTGATTTCCCCCTAGCATCGTTTATGGGGGTAATTCTGGAATTTCCTTCTGGCCACACTCGTAAAATCGGAATTCCCTTACGAATGCCTATCGGAGTGTCTGGTCATATAGACAGAGTAATAGACAGAGTAATCAGGCATAAGTCAAGTAAGAGAATCAAAAGGTAAGAGACGAGTAGTCAGGCATAAGTCAGGTAAGAGATTACTAGCATCGTTTATGGGGGGTAATTCTGGAATTCCCTTCTGGCCACACTCGTAAAATCGGAATTCCCTTACGAATGCCTATCGGAGTGTCTGGTGTCTATTCAATCCTGTATGAATGCCTATGAGAGTGTCTGGTGTAGGTATATAGACAGAGAAATAGATAGAGTAGTCATATAGACGGAATAATAGACAGAATAGTCAGGCATAAGTCAGGTAAGACACTCAAAAGATTCGAAAATTTGATTTCCCCCTAACATCGTTTATGGGGGTAATCTGGAATTTTCCCTTCTGGCCACACTCGTAAAATCGGAATTCCCTTACGAGTGCCTATCGGAGTGTCTGGTGTCTATTCAGTCCTATATGAATGCCTATGAGAGTGTCTGGTGTAGGCATATAAACAGAGAAATAGACAGAATAATCATATAGACAGAATAATAGACAGAATAGTCAGGCATAAGTCAGGTAAGAGATTCAAAAGATTCGAAAGCTTGATTTCCCCCTAATATCATTTATGGGGGTAATTCTAGAATTCCCTTCTGGCCACACTCGTAAAATCAGAATTCCCTTACGAATGCCTATCGGAGTGTCTGGTGTCTATTCAGTCCTGTATGAATGCCTATGAGAGTGTCTAGTGTAAGCATATAGAGAGAGAAATAGACAGAATAGTCATATAGACAGAGTAATCAGGCATAAGTCAAGTAAGAGACTCAAAAGAAAAGTTCTCCCACACGTCGAGACCTTCGGTGCAAGAAGTAAAAAGTGTTCCTCTTCATCCTGTAGCAGTGATGGTGAATTGATGCTCGTGGTGATGATGACCATGACAATGACGACGACCGCGACGCTAGCGATGACGATGATGACGGCGAAGACGATGACAATAAAGATTACCAATACAATGACGATAATGACGACGACGGCGATGGTTGCGATGATGATGGTGACGGTGACGGTGATGGTGGTGATGATAGTGATGATATTGATGATGATGGTGATGATGATGATGATGATGGTGGTCGTGGTGATGATGATGAGGATGAGGATGAGAATGATGAAGAAGACGAATACACTATAATGACGATGATGAGGAGGAGAATGTGGTGGAGGAGGGTTTCAGTGACGTAATGGCGAGATCGTCCCCTCTGATCCATAAGCAATCTATGTTTAGTCCTACCGTCATTTGTATTTACCGTCCATCGCCATGATCATTACCATTTCCGTTCTAAATATCAGCATCACTATCATTTTCCCCATCATTATCATCATTATCTTTATATTGTACATTTATCCGGGGAATGGGAGACGGGTCGTCTTCACTCACCATTGTCGGCCTGACAGTTGAAAGATCCCACAAGAGGAAATCGCGCGCAGGCTCTGAAAGGCACCGCCCTTTTGCAGCTTGAAGCCCGGACTCCGGAGAGGAGGCTATTTCATAACTTATGAAACAAAAAACGAAGGGGGGCGAGAAGATTGCGAGACTGGGGCATTTCACCGCCAGATTGAAAAAGCCCCTTCGGCACGGACCCAGGAATGCAAAGCGATATTTCGAAGATGAATTGTCGCTGTCCTTCTTGGAATGATTAGAATTATCCGGGGACCGCCCCCTCCGCCTTCTCGGAGGCCTCTTCGAGGCGCCGAGTTTTTTCGACCGCCTGGGCCTTCAGCTCGGCAGCACCTCCACGGACTTCGCAGTCTCGGAGACGTCCGGGTGGAAGCTGTAACCGCCCAGCACGTAAAGGGTTTTGTCCCAGGCCGCGGCGGCGGACATGTCCCTCGGGTGTTTCAGCGTGGGGCCCTCGGCCCAGCAGCCCCTGCTGGGGTCGAAGACCTCAGTGGAGCGTATGGCCTCGGAAGTGTCGCCCCCCAGAACGTAGAGGCGCCCCGAGACCGCTTCCGCCACGTGTGAGTTCCTGGCTCGGCCCAGCCTCGGCCCGCTGCTCCAGCTGCCCTCGGCCGGATCGAAGATTTCGACGGAGCAGAGCACGGAGCTGCCGTCGTAGCCGCCCACCACGAAGATTTTCCCTCCAAGTGTCGCTGCCGCCAGAGCCGCTCGCGGCTCGCGCAGGGGCGGCAGGTCCTGCCAGGTTTGGCTGCTTGGGTCGAAGCTCTGCACGTGCTTGAGCCACTGATGTTGTCCATCGCGGCCTCCGAGCAGGACGAGCTTGCCAGCAAGCTCCACGGCTGCGTGCGCCGACCTGCGAGCCTTTGGATTCTTGCCCGGCCTCCAGCCCTCACTGCTCCCGGGGATCCAGGTTTCCATGGAGCTCCGAGACTGACTGCCCTTGCCCTCCCACCCTCCCGTCATGTAGATGCGATTCCCGACCACGGCCGCTGCAGCAAACCATCTCTCGCAGGTGAGGGCGGGCGCCCCGCCCCAGGAGCCGCTCGCCGTGTCAAAGACCTGAACCGCGCGTCTGGTGAAAAAGCCGCCCATGACGTAGATCTTCCCATCCAGAGCGGCGGCGGTTGCAGCGTGTGTTTCGTGTGACATCGGAGGGCAGAGTGCCTGGATCCGCCCCGCTGCTCCCCTTTCTGAAAAGGTCCCGATCCTTCCACCCGAAAACCTTATTATACTACAATCCACGCTGCTGCATCGAACTCCTGAGGCGCCATCTGCGCCAGCTTCGCAACCTCTTCCTCCTGCTGCTGGCACAGCCGCCGCTGCTCCACCATCTCGTTCAGCACGGAGGTGACGAAGTTGCAGGCAGGGGACCGGAAGCTCTGGTCGCTTGGGCTGTCGCCCGAGATCGCTTCGCACGCTCGGGGCACGGCCTCTCCTAGGAGCCACTGCTGCAAGACTTTGGACCTTGGCTCCAGTGCCTTGCTGGAGGAATCCAGGGACTCCGCGAGTGATGTCCTGGTCTTCACGAGCTTCTCCAGTGCTTCCGCGCACGTCTCCATATGGGCGAAGACCTGCCGGCGCAGCTCCAAGCAGGCCTCCGGCACGGACTGCGTGGCCTCCACGGCGGGAGAGATCACCTCCTGGGGCGGGCGAGGCCGGCGGCGAGCAAGACAAGTGCATGAAACCCTATGCTCTGCTCAGCGTACCCCTTGGTATATGCAACAAGCCACGACAAGTTAGTCTGCCATCCTGAATATCGAAATCCTCCCTAAACCCTAAACCATCCTAAACCATCCTAAGCCCGACAAGCCGAGCATCGACTTCGATCTGCTTCTCCGAGCCGAAGCCTTCGAAGGCGCTGACTAGAGCACCTTCGAACCTGGCTGCGAGCGCCTCGGCATCGAAGGACACCTTCACCGTTCTATCCTGGCCCGCCTCCATCCTCAAGTGCTTCTGCTCGAAGAAAGCGGATCTCAGGACCTTGGCCACGCCGTCTCTGGCCTTCTCCACGTCCAGGCGCGGCTGCGCTTCCCTCAGCTTCTTCTGCAGCTCCTGTGAGCAAAGGAAATTTAAGGGGGTGGAAGGAGGAGCCAGGGGAAAGGGCGGAGAAGGACGAGCAAGGGGGCGGTGCGGTGCTTTGGGTCCTCGACGAGGCACGGCAGGCGCTCCAGCCGAAAGGCGTCCTCCTCCTGCGGCCCCAAAGCCGCCAGCGCCTCTTCCAGGAGACCGGAGGCGAAGGTCTCCAGCGGCGGCAACTTCGCCACGATGTCCTCGCACGCCGTCTCGAAGAACGTTGGAAGCTCCTGCACTTCGTGTACAATAAGGGGGGACGATGGCGAGGGAAGGGGCTCTGCGTTAAACAAGCGAAGGAATCATGCATATGCCCCAATTGACGCCAAAAACAACGAGAACTTGCCTGGCGGTCCAGCAGCTTCACTTCTTGGCACGCAAGGGCTTCCAGCTGCTTCTTGAGATAATCCTGCATAGAGCTTCAGATCATGTCAGCGCAAGCCCAGCCTCCAAGCACCACCCCCAAAAGCACCCAAGGCCCTGCACAGACTCCTCACCCCAAGCCCTGAAAGAAGCTGGCGAGTTCAAGCCGTAGGGCTGCGCGCTCCCCCATTCTCTCGCTTACCGGGCTATCCTGGACGGGCTTCGCGGCGGCGCTCCAGAACAGCTCGTGGGCCCGCTTGACAACGAAACCAAGCCGGCGCTTCAGCTCGCGGGTCGCGGCATCCTTGAACTTCGCCAGGGCGGCTCCTGGGCTTCAAGGCTGCGAAGAAACACATCTGGGGCAGAAGACCCCGTGTTGTGAGTGTGCTCAGATGCTCTCAGAGTGATGCTGAAGCCCTGCGTGGCTTCATCTTTCGTATAAGCCAGCTTCGGTCAAGCATATGGACATGCTTTCTGTGAGTCTTGCATACAACTTCCGAGTGAGTTTGGGGGCTGTGCTTCAAGGCAAGCAGGTCCTGAACACGCGAGTGGAGTGTGCTTCCGACGAGTTCACGGATCTGCACTCGCCACACGCTTCGTGCGAGTTCAGACGAGTTCGGGATGAGTTTGGGGACCCGCTTCGGACGGGGTTCCGAAACTCAGAAGCATCTCTCCGAATCGCTGGAAAAAGCGAGAACAACTGCATGAACTCACTCACCTCGCTTTGCGCACGCCCGCACACCCCTCAGAAAACGACAGCGAGTTCACAGCTCGCTCGCAAGCGAAGACAATCAAAACACAACTGAACTACGGGCGGCCTCGCGCACGCGCTTCAACGTGTACCGTTGGCATCGTTGTCACATGTTGTCACCTTGCACTGTCACAGTATGCTGTCATTACGCCTGTCCACCATGCCTTTCAGAGCCCCCGTGCTGCGACTCGCAGCTTTCGCCATCTCCAACTGTGCACGGCTCACACTGGGAGCTCGGGGCTTGTCTCCAGTGCTGTAGGGCTCGGCCGGTCAGGCTGCCGAACCAGGCAGACAGCACCCTCACAGCCCGAAGCGCAGAACGCCATGTGCAACCCCGAAACTGGAGGCTCTCCCTGGACCCAACTACTAGTATAGCCTCTCTTAGACCCTAAAACAACGCTCCACCGTGCTGTTCACGCGTGCCGGAGCAAGCGTGCAGCAGGAGAGACATCAGTTCTACATGGCAGGCGCAGTACTTTCAGGGTTTGTGACTTGGACAAGTCAGGACGGTCGACGCACGGCAATCATCAGATTGAATGAAGTTTTTGGTCAAAAACACGCTGCGGCTTGGGTTTTGGTGACATGCAGGCGTTCAAGTAAAGCTGTTTGCGGAGCCAGCTGCTGCGCACATTCTTTGCATGGGACGTACTCACAGTTTGAGCCAGTCCTTGTCCTTTGCAGGGCTAAGAAAGTCCTGTGGCCCATGTCCTTCTCATCGTGGGGACATGCATGCTCAGGTAACACGGACGTTATCATCATGCGGACATGCATGCTCGGGTAACACGGACGTTATCATCATGCGGACATGCATGCTCGGGTAACACGGACGTTATCATCGTGGGGACATGCATGCTCAGGTAACACGGACGTTATCATCGTGGGGACATGCCTGCTCAGGTAACACGGACGTTATCATCGTGCGGACATGCATGCTCTGGTAAAAAACAACGGCAGGCCCGACGTTTTCGACTGCAAAGTCCCGGAAACACCGCAAAGAACGATGCATTCGATGCCAGCACGCCCGCTCCGCCACCACCCTCCGAAAAACACGACAGGCGCGACATTTTCAGTGGAAATGGCCACGAAACACCGAAAATACCGATGTGGTCGGTGAACAGCACGGTGTGCCTAAAACAACCCATCTACTAAGGGTACCTTGGGGAGGGTCCCGCTCAATCCCAACGCTTTCCGTAGAATCTCACGCTCCTTCCAGCTGCCCGCTGGCGAAGGGGAGCCCCATCTTCAGGAGCTCCTCTCGCTTCCCAAGAGGCAGAGGGCCGAGGAGAATTGAAAAATCTGCTCAGTGTCGGGCGGAGAAGGACGAAAGCTGTGTCTAGTCCCCACCTAGCTCAAGGCTCTCCCCCTCCAGTATAGTCACGGCTTCTACATTCGTGATGCTCGGCGGGCTCCTCACAGCAGCCAGTCCACCTCGGGCACTTGGGCTTCGGGAAACGAGAGAGACAGAGAGCGACAAAGAGAGAGAGAGAGAGGGAGGGAGGGAGGGAGGGAGAGGGAGAGCGAGAGCGAGAGGGGCATAATTCCGAAAGGCATGCTCGGCTGCAGGCGAACCACACGGCGAGCAGGCGCTTGGCCGTGAGGGGCAGCCAGTTGTGGGCAACGTGCCAGCTGTAGCCCCGGCTGATGCTGTGGACAACCGCCCCGATGGTGGCTTGCTGCTTCTCCACGAATGGTTTCATCTCCAAGTCGATGGCGAACTTGTCCTTCTCCAGCTGCGCCTTGCGCGCCATCCATTCCGTGAAGCTCTCGCCAGGCTCTCGCTTCTTGGTCACGTTCGCCACCGCGACGAAGCCTGGGTTAACCACTTCTTCGGTGAATTTCGCATGTTGGAAGCGAAGCTTTCAACTGAAGCCCAACCCCTTTTGACTGCCGTGCGAAGCCCCCTTCCCTCCACCTGCAGCCACGGAGCCATGCTGTGACAATGGCACGAGACCCTTCACCTGCTCTCCCCGAAGAATTGGAAATAGATCTTCGTGCTCATCTTCGCCAAGCCTTGCTCGCAATAGGTCACTGGGTCAAAAGGTGTGCATTTATTCACTCCTACGTGGCTTTGCAGAGCGGAGCCTGTCGAACTTGGTGATGACCCCGATGGTGCGCTCCTCGAGGTGTCTGTCCTTGATCAGCTGCATGACCGCCCAGTTCGCAGGTGCCTCCGAAGCTGGGACGATGGCAAGGAAGATGTCCTGCTCTTGCGAATCCTGCGTGTACCTCTGCAGCAGCTGCTGTGTCTGCGTGGCCAGGGCGGCATCGGCCTGAACCAAGCCTGGTAGGTCCACTAAGTTCATCGGCGGCAAGGTCGTGGAGCTGGCTTTGATGTGGATTTCTTTGTCAAGGCAAAACTCGCCGCCGCCAGCCGCCTCTTCCACAAGCTTGTTCATCTCCCCGTGGATTTGGGACTCGCTGACTTCCAGGGAGATGCTCCGCGCCGGACCGTCCCACTTCTGCTCCGCGACATTCCACACCTGCATCGTGGCCTCGGGGACCCCGAAAATCCCGGAAGCTAGTGCACGATGAGGGCGGGTCTACGAGAGGGATTTCTCCCTGCACGCCAGGCCGCTGGATGAGGTGTCGCCGTCCGTCGGATCTCCAGCCGCACAGGCATCCTCGTGCAGCGGCTTTTGTCGGTCGGGAAGAAGGGTAGCAGGCTCAGGCGCTGCAGCAGCGAGGACTTGCCGACGCTCTCGGCACCGAAGACCACCAGAAACGGCGCCCTCGCACTTGAGACAACACAGCGGAGGGCGTGGGGCTGAGACCCGCAGCTTCCTAGCTTTTTCCTCCATTACGTTAAGTGTATTATAAGTATACATGGATTCGGTGAGTGATGGCGCGAGGCATGCGCGGCAGGCATGCCCGGGGGTTCCACGGCTCCCGCTGTGGTGCATGGCACATTCTCCGCGACTGCTGGTTGGAAGTCGACAGTCCCAGCCTTATCTTGGCGTTCAATGGCCACACTATTCGGGGATCCTTGGTGTGGTCTCGACATCCCGGCCTTCTGAGAGCCTTGGGGACTTTATGGGATGTTCTCAAGATGGCAATCGTTCTCCCGCCACTGGGCTGCGACTCGTCTTTCCGCCAGTCCCGTGCGCTTCGTGTCTTTTGGGGTGCAACTCCCACCAGTGTCGTGCGCATTTTGGACTGGGTATGTTGAGCTTGGACTGCTATTCGCTTTCGCTGTTTGTCGGGTCAATGTGGGGTCTACGCTGGCATAAATCATAAACATGTCAGTCCCTCCACTGCACGATTTACCATGTTTGTGCCAGCCAAAGACAAGAGTAAAGACAAGGCAACGCCAGAATCACGAAGTGTTGAAGCCGGAAAGGAATGCTCAACACCCAGCTATACAGTCCGTCCTCCAACTGCCCAAGGTGGCCACCAACACGTCGTTCAGCTCATCCAACGCGGAGAACAGCACGCTGAGCCTCCACAGAGAGTTTCGGAGAGGGTCGTGCAGGATTGGATCTTACACATATAATGAACCCAAACAAGCTCCGATCTAGCTCCGAGTCCGATGTTTGGGCTTCACTTATGATGCCTGTGGAGCGACCCCTGGTCGTCCAAAGCGTGGGAATCATCTGCTATGCGATCCTGGGTCTCTCACGCTCCAGTGTTGAGGGGGTGTAGGGCCGAGGCTTGCGGTTCAGCTTCATTCCTTTTCGCAGAATGCCCACCCCCCCACCCCCGGTCCCCTGAAGAAGCGAGGTTCTCTGAGGCCGTCTAGTTCCAGGTCGAGGTGGGCCATGAACTGCGGCTGCATGTCCTCAGCATGCTCCGCTTGCGGAAACGGAACGAAGGCCTTCTTAAAAATTCTCGGGGCGGCAGAAAGAGCTGACAAAGATCGGCCAAGACGCACGCAAGGAGGGCAGCGGGCTCTGCAACTCCTTCAGCTCGAGCTTGATGTCCGCCGCCAGCCTTCTCCGGTAGTCGTCGATGTCCTCCTCCTCAAAAGCCAAGCCGTGGCGGAGGAGCCAGGCCACCTCGCCGCGCTGCGAGACGCCCAGCCCGGCGTCCCCCCGCCTGGCCGCGCTGCATTCGATCCGAGGAGGCCACGCCAGCCCCACTCGTCCGACGCCTTTCTGGCCTGCCTTGTACACCACCACCAGGGTGTGCTTTCTCTCCACCGCGGTCTGCAGACGGAGGCGCCACTCCTCGAACCACCGGCAGCCGAAGGACTGCTTCTTCTCGTACAGATCCTGCTGAGGGAATTATAACAGTTTGGCATATGGAAATAAGCCCAGGTCAGGTGGGGTCGCATCCTAATTCCGTCTATTTTAAGGGTCGTGTCAGGCCGTTAATTTCCCTTAACTCTGCCTAGGAAATATGCGACTTGTAGATCCTTGATCTTTCGAACAAAAAGAAATAATACATAAAGGCCTAAAGTTAAAGTTGAAACCCATACTTGCTTGTCAGAAACCATCAAAAGGGATTTGTTTGGCCTCAACAAACTGATTTTGGATTCCCTGCCCGGGGTCTCCCAAGCTTCCCCACCCCTGGCCTCCCAAGTGGCCTCCGAGCGCCTTGCTCTTGTTTCTCAGGTTCTTCCCTTTCAAGCAGATCGCGCTTGTTTCTCAAGCTTGCTAATCCTTTTCGAACGGTTCGCTTTTGTTTCTCGAGTTTTCTAGTCCATTTCAGGCGGTTTGCTTTTGTTGTTCAGCTGTTTGTTCATGTTTCCCAAGTTCTCTAATCCCTTTGAGCGCTTTGCTATTGTTTCTCAAGTTCCCTAGTCCCTTTCGTGCGGTTTGCTCTTGTTTCTCAAGTCCGCTGGACCTTTTCGAGCGGTTTGCTCTTGTCTCTCACGTTCTCCAGTCCCTTTCCAGCGGCTTAAGCTCTCTAGTCCCTTTTCTCAAGTTCTCTAAACCCTTTCGAGCGGTTTGATCTTGTTTCTCAAGCTCGCTAATCAGCGATTTGCTCTGGTTTCTCAAGTCCTCTAGCCCCTTTCGAGCGGTTTGCTTGTGTGTCTCAAGTTCTCTAATCCCTTTGGAGCGGTTCGCCTTCTCGAATCCTTTTCGTGCGGTTTGCTCTTATTTCTCAGGTTCTCCAATCCCTTTCGGCGGCTTGCTCTTGTTGCTCAAGTTCTCTAACCCCTTTCAAGCGGTTTGGAGCGGATTGCTCTTGTGTCTACAGTTTTCTTGAGCCTTTGGAGCAATTTGCTCTTGTTTCTCCAAGTCTCTAGTCGCTTCCCTTTCAAGCGGTTTGCTCTTGCTTCTCAAGTTCTCTCGAACTTGCTTCTCAAGTTCTCTCGCCCCTTTCGAGCAGTTTGCTGTTGTTACTCAAATTCTCTAGTCCCGTTCGAGCTGCTTGCTCTTGTTTCTCAAGCTCTCTAGCCCCTTTCGAGCGGTTTGCTGTTGTTTCTCAAGTTCTCTACACCCTTTCGAGCGTTTTGCTCTTGTTTCTCAAGTTTGCTGGTCCTTTTCGGGCGGTTTGCTCTTGTTTCTCAAGTTCTCTAATCCCTTTCGAGCGGTTTGCTCTTGCCTTTCAAGTTCTCTCGCCCCTTTCGAGCAGTTTGCCCTTGCTTCTCAAGTCCTCTAGTCCCTTTCGAATGGTTTGGCTCTTGTTTCTAAACCCTTTCGAGCTGTTCGCACTTGTTTCTCAAGTGTTCCAAGCCCTTTCGACCGCTTTGTTCTTGTTATAAATTCTCTAGCCCCCTTGAAGCGGATTGCTTTTGTTTCTCAAGTCCTGCAGTCCCTTTCGAGCGGCTTGCTCTTGTTTCTCAAGTTCTCTAGTGCGTTTCGAGCGGTTTGCTCTTGTTTCTCAAGTTCTGAAATCCTTTTCGAGCGGTTCGCTCTTGTTTCTCACGTTCTCGGTTCCCTTTCAAATGGTTCGCTCTAGTTTCGCAAATCCTCTAATCCCTTTCGAGCATTTTGCTGTGGTTTCCCTAGTTCCCTAATCCCATTCGAGCGGTTTGCTCTTGCTTCTCAAGTCCGCTAGACCTTTTCGCACTCCCTATCGGGCGGTTTGCTCTCGTTTCTCTAGTTCTCAAGTCCTTTTCGAGCGGCTTGCTCTTCTTGCTGTAGTTCTCTAATCCCTGTCGAGCCGTTTGCTCTTGTTTCTCGAGTTCTCTAGTCCCTTTCGAGCGGTTTGTTCTTGTTTCTCTAGTTCTCTAGTGCCTTCGAGCGGTTTGCTCTTGTTTCTCAAGTTCTCTAGTGCCTCTCGAGCGGGTTGTTCTTGTTTCAAGTTCTCTAGTCCCTTTCGAGCCCTTTGCCCTTGCTCCTCAAGTTCTCTAGTCCCTTTCGAGCGGTTTGCTCTGGTTTCTCAAGTTCTCTAAGCCCTTTCAAGCCCTTTGCTCTTGTTTCTCTACTTCTCCAGTCCTTTTCGAGGGGTTTGCTCTTGTGTTTCATTTGTTGCTAGTCCCTTTCGAGCGGTTTGCTCTTGTTTCTCAAGTTCTCTAGTCCCTCTCGAGTGGTTTGCTCTTGACACTTGCTTCTCAAGTTCTCTACTCCCTCGTCGAGCGGTTTGTTCTGGTTTCTCTAGTTCTCCAATCCCTTTCGAGCGGTTTGCTCTTGTGATTCAATTTTTCCAACCCCTCTCGAGCGGTATGCTCTTGTTTTTCAAGATCTCTAGCCCCCTTGGAGCGGTTTGTCCTTGTTTCTCTAGTTCTCTAGTCCCTTTCGAGCGGTTTGCTCTTGTTTCTCAAGTGCTCTGGCGGTTTGCTGTTGTTTCTGAAGTCCTCCTGGTCCTTTGCGAGCGGTTTGCTCTTGTTTCTCAAGTTCCTGTCCCGTTCGAGCGGCTTACTCTTGTAACTCAAGTTCTCTAGTCCCTTTCGAGCCCTTTGCCCTTGCTCCTCAAGTTCTCGAGTCCTCTTCGAGCGGTTTGCTCTTGTTTCTCAAGTCCTCTAGTCCCTGTGGAACGGTTTGCTCTTGTTTCTCAAATTCTCTCACCCCTTTCGAACGGTTTGCTCTTGTTTCTCAAGTTCTCTAGTCCCTTCGAGCGGCTTGCTCTTGTTTTTTCAAGCCCTCTACTCCCATTCGAGGGCATTGCTCTTGTTTCTCAAGTTCTCGAGTCCCTTTCGACCGGTATGCTCTTGTTTCTCAAGTTCTCTAGCCCTTTTCTAGAGGTTTGCGTTTCTCACGTTCTCTAGTCCCTTTCGGCGGCTTGCTCCTGTTTCTCACGTTCTCGAGTCCCTTTCCAGCGGTTTGCTCTTGTTGCTCAAATTCCCTACTGCCTTTCGAGCGGTTTGTGTCAATTTCGAGCGGCTTGCTCTTGTTTCTCACAGTCTCTAATCCCTTTTAAGCGGGTTGCTCTTGGCGCTCAAGCTCTCTGATGCCTTTTTCGAGCGGCTTGCTCTTGTTTCTCAAATCCTCTAGTCGCGTTCGAGTGCTTCGCTCTTGCTTCTCAGGTCCTCTAGTCCCTTTCTAATCCCTTTCGAGAGTTTTGCTCTTGTTCCTCAACTCTAGTCTCTTTCAAGCGGCTTGCTTGTTCCCCAGGTCCTCTAGCCTCCTTCGAACGGTTTGCTCTTGTTTCTCAAGTCCTCTAGTCCCTGTGGAGCTGTTTGCTCTGGTTTCTTAAGTTCTCGAATCCCTTTCGAGCGGTTTGCTTTTGTTTCTCTAGTTCTCCAGTCCCTGTTGAACGTTTGCCCTTGGTTCTCAAGTTCTCTAGTCCCTTGCTCGAACAGTTTGCTCTTGTTCCGCAGGTCCTCCAGTCCCTTTCGAGCGGTTTGCTCTTGTTTCCCAAGTTCTCGAGACCCTCTCGAGCTTCTTGCTCTTGTTTCTCACGTTCTTTAGTCCCTTTCGAGCGGCTTGCTCTTGTTTCTCAAGCTCTCTAATCCCTTTCGAGCGGTTCGCTCGTGTTCCTCAGGTTCTCTAACCACTCTAATCCCTTTCGAGTGCTTCGCTCTTGTTTCTCAAGTCCTCTTGTCCCTTTCGAGCGGCTTGCTCTTGATTCTCAAGTCCTCGAGTCCCTTTCGAGCGGTTTGCTCTTGTTTCTCAAATGCTCTAGTCCCTGTTGAACGGTTTGGTCCTGTTTCTCAAGTTCTGTAATCCCTTTCGAGTGCTTCCCTCTTGTTTCTCAAGTCCTGCGGTTTGCTCTTGATTCTCAAGTTCTCTAGTCCCTTCCGAGCGGTTTGCGATTGTTTCTCAGTTCTCTAATAGTGTTCGACCTGTTGGCTCTGGCAGCTCTGGTTGCTCAGGTTCTCTAATCCCTTTCGAGCGGTTCGCTCTTTCTGAAGTTCCGCAGTCCCGTGCGAGTGCCTCGCTCTTGTTTCTAACCCCTTTCGAGCGGTTTGCGCGCGTTTCTCTAGTTCTCCAGACCGTTTCGCGCGGTTTGCTCTTGTTTATCAAGTTCTCAAGTCCCTTACGACCGGTTTGCTCTTATTTCTCAATTTCTCTAATGCCTTTCGAGCGGCTTGGGTCTCAAGTTCGCTGGTCCCTTTGGAGCGGTTTGCTCTTGTTTCTCGAGCGCTTTGCTCTTGTTTCGCAAGCTCTCTAGCCCCTTTCAAGCGGTGTGGTCTGTTTGGTCTTGCTTTTATGGCTTCTAGTGCTTTTCGAGCGGTTTGCTCTTGGTGCTCAAGTTCTCTAATGCCTTTCGAGCGGTTTGCTCCTGTCTCTCAAGTTCTGGAGTCCCTTATGAGCGGTTTGTTCTTGTTTCTCCGAATCTCAAATCCCCAGTCCCTTTCGAGCGGTTTGCTCTTGTTTCTCAAGTTCTCTGGTCCCTTGTGAGCACTTTGCTCTTGTTTCCCAAGTTATCTAGTCCTTTTCGAGCCGTCTGCTCTTGTGTCTCAAGTTGCTCTTGCTTCTCAAGTCATTTAACCCCTTTCGAGTGGTTTGCTCTTGCTTCTCAAGCTCTTTAATCCCTTTCGAGCGGTTTGTTCTTGTTTTTCTAGTTCTCGAGTCCCTTTCGAGCGGTTCGCTCTTGTTTCTCAAGTCCCCAACTGCCTTTCGACCGGTTTGCTCTTGTTTCTCAAGTTCTCTAGTCAGTGTCGAGGGGTTTGTTCTTGTTTCTCAAGTTCTCTACTCCCTTTCGAGTGGTTTGCCCTTGTTGCTCACGTGCCCGGATCCCTTTCGAGCGGTTTGCTCTTGCTTCTCAAGTTCTCTAATCCCTTTCGAGCGGCTTGCTCCCGTTCCTAAAGTTCCCTAATTCCTTTCAGAGGGTTTGCTCTTGTTTCTCAAGCTTTCGAGCTGTTGGCTCTTTTTTCTCAAGTACTCGAGTCCCTTTCGAGCAGTTTGCTAGAGTTTCTCAAGTTCTCTAATGCCTTTCGAGCGGCTTGCCCTTGTTTCTCAAGTTCTCTAATCTCTTTCGAGTGCTTTGCCCTTGTTCTTCAAGTCCGGTAATCCCTTTCGAGCGCTTTGCTCTTGCTTCTGAAGTTCGAGCGGCCTCTCGAGCGGCTTGCTCTTGTTTCTCTAGTTCTCTAGCCCTTTCGAGCAATTTGCTCTTGTTTCGCAAGCTCTAGTCCCTGTCAAGTAGTTCGCCCTTGTTTCTCAATTTCTCTAATCCCTTTCGATTCGTTTGCTCTCGTTTGTTCTCAAGTCCCTTTCGGGCAGTTTGCTCGTGGTTCTAAAAGTCCTGATCCCTTTCGAGCGGTTTGCTCTTGCTTCTCAAGCTCTCTAGTCCATTTCGAGCGGTTTGCTCTGGTTTCTCAAGTTCTCTAGTCTCTTTCGAGCTGTTTGCTCTTGTTTCCCAGGTTCTCGAACCCCTTTCGAGCGATTTCCTCTTGTTTCTCAAGTTCTTTAATCTCTTTCGAGTGCTTTGGCCTTGTTTTTCAAGTCCGGTAATCCCTTTCGAGCGGTTTGCCCTTCTTTCTCCAATTTTCTGGTCCCCCTTTCGAGAGGTTTGCTCTTGATCCTCAAGTTCTCTAGTCCCTTTCGAACACTTTGCTCTTGTTTCTCAAGTTGTCTCATCCCTTTCGAGCGGCGTGCTCTTGTTTCTCAAGTTCTCCCGTCTCTTTGTTCTTGTTTCTCTCACGGTCTCTTTCGAAGTCTCTTTCGAGCGGTTTGCTCTTGTTTCTCAAGGTCTTTGGTCCCTTTGGAGCGGTTTGCTCTGGTTTCTCAAGTTCTCTAGCCCTTGGGCGAGGTTTGCTCTTTTTTCTCAGGTTCTGTACTCAGTTTCGAGCGGCTTGCTCTCTTGTGTTTCTCAAACTATCTAGTCCCTTTCGGGCGGTTTAGTCCCGTTCGAGCGGCCGGCTTTTGTTCTCAGATTCTCTAGTCCTTTTCGAACAATTTGCTCTTGTTTCTCAAGTTCCCTCGTCTCTTTCCAGTGGTGCGCTCTTGCTTTGCAAGCTCTCTAGTCCCTTTTGAGCGGTTTGCTCTTGTTTCGCCAGTGCTCTAGTCCATTTCGAGCGGTTTGCACTTGTTTCTCAAGTTCTCTAGTCTCTTTCGAGCGGTTTGCTCTTATTTCAAGTTCTCGTGGGGAATGTTGGCAATTTGGCATATGGAAACAAGCACGATTTGTAGATATATAGGCCGAATTTTACGCTTGAAACCCATACCTGTTTGGAGCACCCGGAAACATCAAAACGGATTTGTTAGACCTCAACAAGTTGATTTTTCAGGTCGGGTCGTTAATTCCGCTATTTTGGGGTGGCGTCGTCTGACCTCGCTAAAATTTCGCCAGTCCTGGCACCAACACACGTCCGAAGTGCCATCCTCGTTGGGCACGTGGCCCCCAAAGAACTTGCTCCCCTGAGGCAAAAACACACAGGCGGTGCTGCCTGAGACGTAGTGCCGGCAGGGCTGGCCAGGATCCTCCGTTGCATCCTTCTCGAAGGCGCTGCGCTTCACCGATCTCCGCACGAGGCACTGCCAGTCCTCCTGGTACTGCCCGGGAAAGCTCACTACGGTCTTGATCTCCGAGCCCTCTTCGAACGAGACGGAGCCGTGAAACGCCGCCTCCGTCATCGCTGCCTGCTTCGCAAATGTCCTGCATCAGCTCGGGCTCAGAAGGCGGGGCTTGACTCACCGCCCGAAGTTCCAAAGAAAAACAGAGAGAGAGAGAGAGAGAGAGAGGTGAGAGAGAGACAGTGACAGAGGGGGAAAAAAAAGAGTAAGTGCCTGGGGCTCATCAACCTCGTGCTCATCAAGGCTGGCCACTCGGCTGGAGCGTCGTCTGCAGTCTTCACGACACTCTGCCTCCAAGCCGGCTCCTTTGCTGGGAAGTTCTCCTTCAGAAACCGCCTGCTGCTGCAACAGCCTGGATTTCAAGAGCTTCGAGCCCACTAAAAAAAAATCGGCACAAGCACATACTCCATTCGGGCCTGATCTCCTCCTCCAACTCGGCTTCATGGTCATAGCCTTCGCGCACGCACACACACACACACACCGCACGCACAGACACACACACACACACACACACACCCGCACGCACAGACACACACACACACACACACACACACACCCGCACGCACAGACACACACACACACACACACACACACACACACACACACACACACCCACACACACACACACACACCACCACACACACACACACACACACACACACACACACACACACACCGCACGCACAGACACACACACACACACACCCGCACGCACAGACACACACACACACACACACACACACACACACACACACACACACACACACACACACACCGCACACACACACACACACAAAAGACACATCGGATGTGATGAGGGCCTGTTGCTTCTGCATGCTTCTGCGGGCTTCGATAGTTGTTGAGCTTCGTGTACCGTGTGGTGATCTGGGGGCTTCCTTTGCAGGCTTGCAACTTGAAACGGGGTAAACCCGCCTGGTTCCATGGGCTTCTCCGTCACCGGGGACACCAGCTGTCCGGAAGTCTCGCTTAATCGCACATACTCTTGGAAGGCCGTCTCGTCGTAGAGATTCTCGTCTCTTGCACGGATCGGCCGCTTCATCACCTCCCGGACGCTGCTCTAACAGAAACTGCTTCGCAGACTGAGCGCTGCTACCACCAAAATCAGGCTTGCATCTCCAAGAGGGAGCACCACGCCTGCTTCGAGAGGCCGCACACGAACCGCTTTGGGACGTGCTTGCGGGCCGTCTCCAGCGCCAGCTGCGCGTCGCGGAGCTGCCTGCGCATGTGGGAACTGCGCCGGGGGGGTGGCTCTCCGGCTTATAGGGCTCTTTACGCAGCGCTTTCGGATCCTTGCGGAAGCGAATTTTTGAAGGCCTTTACGGCTCTCAAGCCCCGGCACCTTTGAAGGTCGGCCATCTGCTTCACGTGCTCGGCATTCTGCGCACTCCACTCCCGGATCCCTTCGCGAAGGTCCGCATTCTCCCGGAGGTCTTTGCTCCTGAGCCGCACTTAGGCACCCTGCGTGGGCTTTCTGCAGAGTTGGTGGTGGAAGGCCTTGAGGAGGGCTTTATGCCTGCAGCCGAGGCTCCGGAGCGGGATGTTGCTATAGGGATCCCTCGGCTCAGTGGTCGTCTCGAGCCACCTGGCGCCAGCGTCCGAGCAGGAAGGAAAGCCTGGGGTGGTGGAGACTTCTGAAGGCGAGCTGAGACCGTTGAGAGTGAGAGGACAGGCGAAGATCGCTGCGGCCTCTCGATCTCCACGCGCTCGTAGGTGTTGCAGCCTCGTGCAGCAGGCAGCATAGCTACACTGCACCGCAAAGCAGGGGGGGCGTTCCCCGGGAGGGAGCGGAACATCGTGCACGGACAATGGAAGCATTCAAAGGCTCCGGGATCTGCGAGGGAAAAGAAACCAGGAGAAAAACAGAAGTTGTAAACAAGCGTCAACGCATGCAAGAGATAGACGTAGAGTGCATGGTACAGAGACGGGAGGGAGAGAGGCAGGGAGAAAGAGAGAGAGAGAGAGTTAAACGAACAGCAGGATAACAAAGGAGATGTACCATGGAGGTGGGGAGAAAAGGGCAGAAAGAGGGACAAAGAGAGAAGAGCGCCAGCGTGAGGCCCGATGCCTTCGGGTTCTTCCGCATCCACGGTGACCGGATCCTGCATCCATCAGAAGTCTTCGAATCCAACAGGAGCCCATGACCAGGAATGCACAGACTCTCTCGGAGGTTCGAGGCATGGAAACTCCTCTCTCTCTCTCTCCCGCACGCGTGGAAACTCCTCTCTCTCTCTCTCTCTCTCTCTCTGTGACTCTACAGATTCTACAGATCCGTCAACTCGACTGACAAGAAGAGTAGCCGAGAGCACAGAGGGAGAGACAGAGAGAGACAGAGACAGAGAGAGAGAGAGAGGAGAGAGGAGGGAGGGAGAGAGAGAGAGAGAGGCTGAATAAGGGGCCTTCATGAGCTCGGAGCTCAGCTTGCACTTGAAAGAGCATGGGATTTCCATGGCGGCTCAGTCTGCTTGGCAAGGGTGAAACATCGGTTCCTGTCGCCTTCCGTGAAGGCCCTGATCTATGTTTGCAATATTCCGCAACTCCCCGGAGGGCATCGACTGATCTCGCAAGAAAGAAACCTCGAAGCGAAGCTGTCAATTCGAGCCCACTGACCTATGGCTCGCAAGTGGTGCAGCGAGCGCGTCTGTGTTTGTCAAGCCCTAAACACTTCGGGAACCGTCTCCTTCGAGCCAGGTGCAAAACAAGAGATCTCACTGAAATTCAGCGGAGTGGCTTAACTTCAGAAGAGGTGGAGCAGATTCAGTTGCCTCTCAAGGCGCGCATCCCCTCTCAGAGCTACGAGTCAAAGAGGGGGCGCCTCTGCGGAGCCTCGTCGAACCTCGATGCCTCGGCCAAAGGGGCCGGGAAAACATGTGTTCTCCCTGCCGAGTTCGTCGGGTGCGGGGTGGCCTTTGGGCTGGACTCCGGGTGTCGGTGGCGCTGCCGGACCCGCAGCCCACGTACCCGCCTGGCTAGACTCACCCTCAATCCCATCATCCGACAACCAAACACACCCAAACCCGGGAACCCTTGCGCACGCCCCGAGCAGGCCGAGCCCTCAAGGCCCGAAGCAGCAAAAAACACCTCCGTTAAACACGGCCCGACTACTTCGGAATATTTAGAAATATATTCAAGAACGCTAATTATCGTTTCGAAGAGTATTCCTCCCCCGAGTCCCCCATCAAGATTCTTTATATCCAAATTTATAGAAATTATATAAGATTTAGATTCCAATAATATTTTGCCCGAGAATTTTGACCGAATTTTTATTTTGGAATTTATTTCCGAATTATTGGAGGGGTCCTCAAGAAAATATAAATCGATAGTATCATTTCGGGGGACATTGTTCCCTGAGCCCCCTCGCCAAGATTCCTCGCCCTGGACCCCATCAACTGCTGGACCGCGCCAAGGGGACAACCCCTAATGAATTTATGGGTCTTTTATTTTGATTTTAAAAAATCATTCGAATCTTTGGTGACAAGGGGGTTATAGTTTTGCTGTCACGCTCCAGAGTGGTGTCATCCTTCAATCCTATTTATTTCAGGGCTGTCGTGGATCGTTTCTTGTGGGACGGGACCCGAAACCAACAAGCCTAAATTGGACACATAAGAATAGTTTGTTCTATTTGCACCACTTACGCAGCTGCGCGGCGTCGGCTGTCGGCGCGCAGAGAGGTTCTGACACGGCGGGCTCGTGCGTGTCTAGCGAGTGGGGTTTTTGGGGGTCTTGTTCGCCTGTCCTCAAAGCCATCCTTGCCGCAGGGAATCTTCTTGGGCCCAGCCTCCTGTGAGCCACCGTGTGGAATCTTGCCCGTGGCGACATGCTTTGGGGTTAATTACGAAAGGCTTGCGAGTGTGTCAGCAGCACTGGCACTCCCATGGTGCCATATCCTCACATTTGCCTTGCTGGGTCCAAGGTGTTTGGCAGTTTTGTAGCAGGCCGCTGGGTTTTGCTTGGGCCGGCTTCTTGTGGAATTTCCCAAGCTTTCCAGGAGAGGTTTCCACGAGTGTAGGGAAAAGTGGTTGGCAGCTCCGACCTGCCCCTGAAAATCCAGATATTGAAATGACAGACGTTGATGCACAAGCAGCATCTGCAGACATGCAGGCTGCCGCTGTAGATATGCAATTGGTTAATCTTTTTGGAGACGACATTACCGTTTCCGAGCTTTTGAGCCAGGAGAGGGCAGCCAGCGCAAGTCCTCCACGAATTGATAGCCACCCTCATTCATGTCCAGTTGTAAACTGTCCTCGTCATATGCTTTCTTGTTTCATTTCATCCAACTCTCCGAATATGTCGAATCTAAGCCGTCTATTAAATGTAGTATTAGAGAACAACATATCACGGGTCGCCCCTGCCCACCATTTCGTAAGTGAGCTAGTGTTGGCAAATGCTGTTCCGTCTTTTCACGATTGTTTGAACTATATGATTGTCCCGCATGTTTTTTTTGGAAAGTTTCAGTAAATAGCGGGACAATTGGGCCATCCCAAACCCCTGCCGCTGTCCAAATTAACTCGCTGAGAATCTGAGAACAAGCAAACCCAGTTTTGATCCCACACGTTTTAGGCGCTGATCTCAGCCACTCAAAGGCGCATTATCCATGTCAGCAGCTGCAGGATTTGCGGCCACATGTGGGCGTCAAGTCGTCCTATCGAACAGGGCGTCCAACTGCGGGGGACGGGCTGGAGACTGTTCCCGCGAGGTCTCTGAAAGATGTCCAACGGTCTGAGCAAAAAGCACGGGGGCCCCAAGCGGCGGCCATTCCATGTTCCATGGGCAGACCCAAGGTCAACGACCGCATCCACAGAGGAAATAGCTCCACGGCCTCAAAGACGTCGCACCTTGTTCCAAAAAACAACCACTTAGCACTCTATCACAACAGCAGTCATTCGTCTTAAGTACCAGACTGCAATTCGATGAGTCACATCCCAATGCGCAGGCCTTGAAAGACACAACATCGAGCATACTGTCACGTCAACAAATGCCTGCAACCGCAAGCCATCTCATGCATCGTAATGCGCAGAGAAAAAGCTCGCGGCAAGAACTCTGGATGCATAACTTCTACCTGGGAGCACGCTCTCCTATCACTACCGACTTCTGGCAAGGCCTCGCTGTGGTTGGGATAAAGTAGGGGCGAGGCAAAATGCGCTCTGCATCTACACACCAGGTCCCCCAAGTCACCTTCGTACACTGTGAGCAAGCATTTCCAATGTCCATGCTTGGTTCAACCATGTTCAACCAAGCCGCGCTTTGCATCCATCCATGCCTCAACAGTTCTGCGTCCAACCTGCCAGGCAGCGAAATTTCGGCGTGACAGCAATGCGCCGGAACGAGAAGCATAGTCAGCTTTACTGTGCAGATGAAGCAACAAATCCCCACGAAGGCAAACTGCAGAAACCCAAACAATCAGTGAAGAACAACCGCCATCGCAATCATCCACAATCTGGTGACGGCCTCCGCCTCATGCTGATTCCTGCAGCGAGCTCCTGGATGACGACCTTCAGGCGATGAGAATACTTATTTGCTTCCTGCGCTGCGTGAACATGCGCCATCGGTCCACATGGCTTGGGAAGCTCTCAGGCCAAAGCCCGGATCACTCCACTGTGATGCGCTCCAAAGAACCTACGGCCATCATTGGCAAGCTCTGCTTTGCTGCTTTTCTTTCAATCAATGCAGGCACTTACAAACTGGTAAATCTTCTGCCTGCTACTTAGTAGTTTGACTCAGGTGGCAAGTTTAACAAATTCTGAGAAGCGCCTTTGTCGCTCCAGGCCACCGCCCTTCGAGTCTCGTGAGAAGAAGAGGTGCCTGGATGCTGCACGCTGGCCACACGTGGGCCACACGCTCACCCGCCACAACCACCGAGGACCCAGAAGCTACCCAACTACCCTTCTTGTCAAACTTGTAGACTCTCGTATCTTGAGCTTATCACTGTGATGTGACGAAGGATTAGCGGCTGGTGTCTCTACCTGTGGGTATTGTAACTCCAGCTTGTTACACTTTGCAGCCTTTTTTCTCAACCTGCCCAGCCTTCTCTTTGAATACCTGTGCGTACTCGGCGAACCCATCTGCTGCTGTGACCTCCAACGCAAGCACACTGTGTTTGTTTCTGCTGCTGTTTTCTTCAAACAATGCCTCCGGGTCGAGGCATGTCAAGTCATCGCCCAGATCCTCGAATCTATACAAGTGGGACACAAGGTGTACGGTGCATGTCCTACTAAGTAGCGAACCCACGCAGCCAGGATGCGCTGGAAGACCTTGCAGTACGCGTGCGTTCATCGTGCGCTCATTCCCTACGCAGTCAAACACGGCATGATGTTCTTGGCACCAACATTCACAGAGGGCAGCACCTCTTCAGCACGTGGCCAAGGGACGTTGTCACCGCCTTTGAGCAAGCCTGTGGCCTTCAGCAAGAGAGGCAATGCATAAAATTTGCGAGTGGCTGGGCAGGACGCGGGCTGTGAGTCCGGGCACACATCGCAGCTCGACGCCTGCACAAGGCATGTTGTGATTCTGCGCCTGTGTAAGTTTAATTTGCGAGTTTGTGTCCAACCGTCTTGCTACGATGCACCACTTGCCTCGGATCACTTTTGCTTGGCGTTGTTTTCGGCATGTCAACACCAACCTGATCATCCCAGACACATAAGACAAACATACGGGTAGTTCCGTGAATAAGTTGGGGGTCCTTCTTGCAAGGGTGCCGTACTATATTTGGGACCAAAGAAAGGACCCTAATTTAGAGAAATATCTTGGTAATTCATCAAGTATTATCCACATGCCCTGTCCCAAATAACCCTAAATTCCCCTTTGAAAACCCATGGGACACATAAATGGTTGCCCAAGAAGGCCTTTAGATTAAATGATTAAGCCTTGCAAAACTGTGTCGCGCCATATCGCGCCGGTTTGGCGCTGCTTCCTACTGTACAGTGAGGTGGCTGCGTTGCTCAACGGAGGGCTTCCAGCGATGGTTTTGTGCAAGGTTGGGCATCCACTGCCGTCAGTTGCACTTCACAGAGCTTCCACTTCCAAAAGTGCGCAGCATGTCGTGACGTCAGAGTATGAGGATGCGTCAGTGCGATGCCGTAAGCACTGGGCATTCACAATGCATGTGGTGACCCCTTCAGCCGTGTGCATAGTGAGTGTCGTTGTCCCAACCGCTAAATCCCACCGGAATTTGCCAGAAGACCCCTCCAAGCTTGGATGTGTGGCCACCCCTCCAAATCACAGCGCCAGCACTAGGGAAATCATGCAGATGCAGCAAGCTTTTCCCGTATCACTGCCTCAAGAAGGCCTTGTGCCACGTGCACTGTGCAACAAGCTGTAGCAGCCTAGCACTAACTTGCAGCATCTCGTAGAACCTTCACTTCGGTGTGGCACCACCATTCAACACGCACAGGTCTGGAGGCAGATGCAACTCAAAGCCCAAAGTCTGAGTTACTCGGCGCTATCTCGGAGTCTGAGCAACTGAGTTCACACTCGAAAATTTCGCCCCCCCATGGGTCAGCCCGGCTCCAAGGCCCATGCGACTCAAATGTCTGATATGGGGGAGATGGGAGCCTGCTGTATTACAATGTTTTTTTTGCGGAGTATGGGCATTTTGTTCAGTCTACACTTTCTATACACTTTCTCTTGGCATTTTCAGTCTTCGTGTTCACCTTTCGTCAGCTCATGCCTTGGCCCATTTTTGGACGGCACTTCGGCAATCGCTCCTCATTCACACTCGAATGTAAAAAGGAGGTTTAGGAGTTTTGCTTGTGAAAGGGCCATGTGGTCGGTCCTTTTGCATGTCCCTGGCATGAATGGCGTCAGTGGCGTCCTTTGTTTTCTTGTGGGGAGGGGGCCGAGGGGAAAAGCCTAAAGACGCGAATTTGAGTTTAAGGTGTGTTTACCGTTTTCGCGGATCCTTGTGAGTTTTTGTGTTGCTCCCAAAGTCGTGTATGGAACTGGACTGAATCCGATCTCTTTGTTCGTTGGCCAGACTACGTGCCTGCGCAGATGTTCGGGCGACCGGGCCGGGAGGCCAGGGGCGAGGACCAACAGGCCTAAGGACCAGCACACGAGGAACCGGGGAACCCAGAAAAATGAATCCCCGCCCAACAAAAAAACCTCCAAAAGAGCGCACTCCCTCATAAGCGGCAAGTGCTAAGTGCTGCCCCTGCCACCAGCAGATCCATGACCTACAATGACCTACAACCTACACGCATTCACCAGGCCATGCCAAGCCTCTTTCGCGAGACTTTCCTTGACATGCTGTCCATGCTCCGTCGAGGCTTTGTGGTGACCTTGCAAGTCTTGCAACAGGTGACGCACGTGAGGAAAGCTGCTAAGCCAAGCCCCATGCATGGAACGCACAGGAGCAACACGTCATGAGAACCAGGCCTTTGATCGCATGGTTCGCTGACATTTTCGGAGTGCGATGCAGGAAAGAGAAATGCGACAAGCAGCTGACAAGCAGGCCCATTAGGCCCATTATGGCCCATTAGGCACCAACCGAGGCGCCTGCTGGTGTGATGCGGGCAAGAAGCTTCGAAAACAGCTTGGCCTTGCACATGTTCGCACATTTTCTGAGACTTGCCCTCGAAACTTGACGGATACCACAGCCCAGGGAGTGGATGGGAGCTTTGATGTTTCCAGCATTCGCAAAGCGCATAAAAGTATCAGTTCTTCACTGTTCGCGCTTTGCGGCTTTGCGCTGACAAAACGCGACTGCGCCATTCCAGGGGCCGAACACAAGATGGTACCTGGCCATGTGGACATCGCTCCCGCAAACCACACAGCGGTTCTCCTTTACGGACCTGTGCGAGTTCCACAATTAGGCACAGCAAAAGACACAGGATGTCCAAGGCAGTTGAAATGCTTGGCAAGGCTGGGCATCCGGGCGTGTAGAAACGCTCCCGCCTGACCGTAGGCCGCTTCATGCCGCTTCTGCACATTGTCAGAGCGCACTTCAGTAACTGAGTGAGGGACTGCTGCATATGCTCGTCGGGCACATTCGTAAAGAAGTCAGGACTGACATTTCACACTGGAGACATCATACGCCCGCTCGATCCTGCTCATTCTGTTGAGTCGTGGAAGCTGAGCTGCCTGCCCAACCTGTTTACGGATACCGAAGCGACCACGAGGCTCAAAGCAAAGACGGATGCAGTCAGTCCTTGCCAGGAATGCAGGAAGTTCGGAGATGTTCAGGTGATTATCGGAAGGCACTTAAGACTCAGGCTGGCCTTCCTCAGGCCTTGCAAAGTACGAGAGGTCTTTTATTGTGCCGTGGGGACTCGTGGAGCTAGCTGTGCCCGTATTCTCATACTCGTACTCAAAACCCACATGATGTGCAACGAGACGGAATGAATGAACGCCACACCTTGTCACCCTCCCTCGTCCTTCAGCAACATCTACCCAAACGGCATTGGAACAGGAGGGTAGCGGTGCAGCAATCATGAGGCCAGCACCTAGCGAGGCCGCGCCGCACCTGGGGGAAACATCGCAACAACACTCAGTGTCCTCATGAGGGCTGTATGGCACTCAGAGCCGCGCATACCAATTTAGTTTCTTCTTGTCAACAGTGCAAAGCAATTGTCCGTCGGGGGCGAGAATCCTCGGCACCACGCAAAACAGGTTCTTCCGTACGTGCTGGCACGTACAAGCATCAGGCTTTGTAAGGCTTTGCAACTCGGATTAGAAGCCGCAGGGCCTGCAGTTCTCGTAAACTGGTCCTTTGGCGGCCACCCGCTGCACAAAGCTCAAGAACCTTTGCTCATGCTGCATGCCAAATAACGCTTTGATGATGTGCCAGACATCGCCTGGCACGCTTCCGCAGCGGCTCCTGCATGACCTTCACATTCATCCGGCTTGACAGAAGTCCGAAAGACATCATTTCTGCAGTTCATGCATGCATACGCTAACATGCTACAGCATGACTGAAGCTGCAGCTCGATTCTGCTGCCTCTGTGGTAGCCTGGCACAGGGCTGTCTGTCTTGGGATGTCATGGGTTTTGGACGTCGTAACACCTCTATGCCACGGTCTGCCACTTTCTTGCTGATGACCGGAAAGCTGCAGCGTGGCCTTGCGACGGCCTCCTGGAAGGCAGCTGCTGATGGGAAAGGGAGCCACCACCTTGATTCTCGCACATTCTCATGCAAACTTTTTTGACTGACTCAGGCAGTACCCTGACTCTTTACATTCTCAGCACAACACCGAGCCGAACCGCCAGCAGGAGCTTCCTGGCTCCAAGCACAACAGGAAATTTTTCCTGAACGGATGCTCCTTGAAAGAATCGTGAGCTGCACATGATGGCGGCACGACGAGTCGTGTGTTTTGGACTGCCACGTGTCCGGCTGGTCTGGACGGACATAGTGTGTGGCTGGGCAAAGCATGATTTCTGCCATGCCCTGGAAGACACAAAGCTAAAGGCACAGGTCCGTGTCAGCCTTAATCTGAATTCGGTTGCAAGCGGCTTACTTGAGACTTGACCGGTGCACGCTGTGCAGACCTGCTGTGGTCTCGCCACCAGCACAAGTGTGGACTGATGTGGACTGCAATTCAATCTGAAGAGGTGCTTGGCACCACTTCGGCTAGGGGGGGGGAAATAAAAATGATGGCAGTTGACGGCAGCTTGGCCTGATCATGGAATGCTGTGAACAATGAATGAAGACAAAACTAAGCCAGTGAGGCGTCCGCCTCATTGCACTTCTTTTTCAGGTACTTCTGGTCTGCCATGCGCAGATAAACTGGACTAGTTGCGGCTTGCAAACAAAGCAGCACCTGGCATTCCAGCAAACAAAAAACGCAAGGAAGCCTTCGGCTTTCCTCTTGAACAGCACTGCTGACTAGCCATGGTGTGTTGGCAGAATGGGATCGCATCTCACCTCATCTGGAGTAGGTTCTCCTGCTGTCTGGCCGAGCTCCACTGTGCGCAACCTTGATCAGTATACTGTAGAAATTGTGTTGAACTCTCTCACACGCACAGCCTCCTCGATCCGATGCATTCCACATGTTTGTGCGACCATGCAGCTTGTTGAAACACTTCACATAGTCAACCTGCTCGTTTGCAGGTCGATACATCCTGAAGGGCTTGACAAGCGCAGCTGTCACTCCCGCGCAAAAGCAATCGCAAGCATTTTGAACTGCTCCTCTCCATCTTGTCACCAGCTCCTGATGTTGAGGGTTGTGGAGGTCTGACGGCCCATGCAGCATGTAGTATGCGCGCCGCCCTGCCTGGAATTATGAGGTTCTTCATGTCCACAAGCTGGTCTTCGATGTGTGAACAGAAAATGCTGAACTTGGCCTGTCAGTCGAGATGCAACAAGCGCTATGCCAGAATGCGGGGCTGCCGGGGACGGCCTGAAATTTGGCATTGTCGTACATCACGGACAATATGTCGATGCTTTTCGCGTGCCTGACAAGATCTCATTGGCAGTCAGTAATAGGATAAAGCGATGCAAGAAAATGATCCGCATTGCTGACGGCGTGACCCCTTGAGCTTCATCGTGCCGTCAACAAACTCGTCAATCGTGACTTCCTCAGATTTGAGCTGCAGCTACTAAGTATCGTCACCAAGGTTTCAGTGAACGCGACTGTTTAGCTGAGCAGTCGAGGATTTTGCCAAGGAAAAGTACGAGTCCATCCAAAGGCAACTCTATTTCTAGTACTGTTGTGTCGACTTCGATCGGTCGCGACGGAGGGTGAGGGATCAAGATAAACTTGATACGGATGAAACAATAAAGCTGCATGATCACAAAGACTAAAAGAGATCAGCAAATTCGCCTCGGGTTTGGCTTTGGATGTGTGTCCAATCCCCGGCCACTAACCTTCAACAGCTAAGTCGAAGTGCACCCCCTCCCCTCCCCCCCCCCCCCTCGCTTAACGTGCGTGTGCTCTTTAAGGATTCTTCCCGAAAATCTCTTTAGGATTGGGTTCTCGTTTGGCGCCTCAACGCGGAAGGCGTTCTATCCGATTGCTGTCTGACGAAAGAGGCCACGAAGAGGAGACGGTCAACGGAGGAAGGTTGCACGGAGCGGTTGACGGCCGGGTTTGGGGGCGAGGACAAGGAGGGGGAGCGTGACATTCGGTTGATGGGGGGGGTACACGTGGACAGACAAGCGGTTCGGTTGAAGGGGTAGTGTCCGCGCCCTCTGCGCCATTTCTGCATTCTGCGGGTGTTCCTTCGTAAAGTATTTGTTTGCAGGGCATGCACATGCAGCATAGCCTCTAAGTGTCCATCTTACCCCACCCCCTCCCTCCCCCCCCCTCCCACCCTCCCAGTTGTTGGGGTTTTCTTTGGGGGTGTAGGGTTTCCCTCCCTCCCCCCCGTGGTCTGGATGTTAGGGTTTGGGGCATATGGTTCTACGGATCCAGGGTGTTAGGGCTTAGCTTGTTAAAGCTTAAGGTTTTGAAGTTTAAGTTTTAAACTAACTAGGGTTTATGCTTTAGGGTTTTAGGGTTCAGGCTTAGGGTTTTTTTAGTACCACCCGCCTAGCAGACCCTCTGGGATAACTCCGCAGGGAACAGTCGAGGGTGTGATGTCATGGTTCGCAAAAAGGACCCCGATCCTCCCCCACCTCCCTGAAGCACACCTGTGAGTTGAGTAACCACACCGCGAGAGCATGCTTCGGGGGAGCTGTCCAGGTCAGGTTCTTGGTACGCCGGTATGCCCTCTTGGTTGCTTATTAAGCAACCTGGAGTTTGGCACCTAGATCTTTATCCGCATGGCTGTGCGTGCCGTGACTCTCTCCAAAACAAAACTCACGTTGTCTGTTCTCTCAAACCTCGTCATGTCTGCACTCTGCGCCTTGCCCAGGCGCCAGTGCTCTAGTCCCCATTTCCAAATGGCCCTGCCAAACACCACCACAACAACAAGTGAGGGCGCCTGATTCAGGTTTAAGGGTGTCGGGTTAAGGCTTCCACTCTCCCCCGTGTGGCTTGCGGCGAAGGGAGGTAAACAGTCAGGGCTTGGTGGGGGGCAGGGGGAGGAGGTACCATTTGAACCCGGGGGGGGGGGGGGGTGCGGGTTTAAGGTTCAGGGTTAGGGGTGGAAGGTTTGATCGCTTACGCTCGGACAAGCCAGGCGAGGCACACACTGGTTGAAGGTTTAGGGCTTTTTTTGCCGCCCGCATAGCTCAACTGCACATGGTTTAGGGTTGATGGTTAGGGTGAAGGGCTTAGGGTTTGAGAGTTTGGCTAAAAGGTTGAAGGTTTAAGGTCTTTTTTTGCCACCCGATTGGACAGAGGGTTTAATCGCTCAGAAAGCTTGGTACCCACAGGGTTTAGGGTTTAGGGTTTACGGTTTGAGACTTATGGTAAGGGATTCGAAAGCAGGCAAGGCTTTGGGGTTAGGGCCTGGGGTTTAGGGAGGGTCTCCCGCCTGGGTGAACCTAGGGGTTGGCGCCTCCTCCTACTACTACTACTACTACTACTACTACTACTACTACTACTACTACTACTACTACTACTACTACTACTACTACTCACCTCTACTACTACAGCTGCTACTGCTACTGCTACTGCTACTGCTACTGCTACTGCTACGACTACCACGACTACCACGACTACCACGACTACTACGACTACTACGACTACTACGACGACGACGACGAGGAGGACGAGGAGGAGGAGGAGGAGGAGGACGACAACCCTCTATCTTAAAACCCTTAAACCCAAAAACCCCTAAACCCGAAGCCATAAAACCCCTGAGCCGCTTGAGGCCTGAAATCCCTAAATCCTAAACCCCACCCGGCCGGGGGGGGGGGGGGAAGGGGGTGGGAGTGACTGGTCAACACTGCACCATATATGGTCACGTATAGCCTGTTTTTCCCTGAGCAGCCCGTATACCTTTATCCCTCGCTCTCTCTCTCTCTCTCTCTCTAAACTTTATCTTCTCACAAAAACCCTGTGCAGTCTATAGACCCCTAAACCCAAATACCGTAACCATCTATACCCGATATACGATATACCATGTATATATATATATATAGAATATACCCTAAATCCTCTTTGTACTTGCACGCCAGACCCAGCAGCAGCATGAGCTCGAACCGTCTTCAACAGCTTTCATGATCGACACTACGATTCAGGGAGGAAGCCCTCCTCTTCCTCTCCCTCCTCTCCCTCCCATCCCATCCAAGCAGCCACGCAAGATGAGCCGAAGCCGGGCGAAGCCCCCAATTTAACCACTGCAAAAGCTCGTCGCCCGATCTAAATTCCACCCCACCTTTCTTGTGTTCATCATTCGAAAAGTAGAGAATATGAAGAGAAGTCGAGAAGAAGTCTAAATTCCACCCGTCTCGTTTCTTGTTGTTGTGTCTTGTGTTCAGTATTCGAAAAAAACAGAGGAGTAGAGAGGAAATAGAGAATAATAATCTACATGACAACAGAGTCTTTCCTGACGTAATCAAAAAGCGGGGAGGTTGGGGTGGGGGGGGGGGGCGCAGCCCCCCCCCCCCCCCCCCAGAATAAGTAGAGAAGTAGAGAACTAAATCAGCAACATCTTGATCCCTTGCCTCTATGCTCCCAAACTCTGCATCCACCCCGAGCTGTCAACGAATTCCGTGCTACCTCACAGCGATTCTGCAAGCAAGGGGCGTTGTCTCGATCTGAGTCCATCAGCGTGAAGATGATTGCCTCAGTTTGGAAGCGGCCAAGGCTTTATTGCAGCACTAAAACCAGCCGCAGCTTAGAGCCAGACAGCTTCACTGGCATCGATATCCATACCTGCATGGAGGGCCCAGGTCACATGTTGAAGCCATCTTATGTTGGGTTTATGTTGCTGTTGTCATTGCTGGCTTTGGTGCTGCTGTTGCCGGCTGCTTCTGATTTTCCGTTGTCGCGGCTTTGCTATGCTTGCTTCTGTTGGTCCTGCTGTCTCCAAGGTGCGGAAAGTGAAGGCTCAAATGGCACAAAATGCCAAGAAATAAGAGTCAGAGCAGCACAAGCAGCCTGGCTTGACGGTTGCCGCCCTCACTGCTCATTCTTAGGTCTTTCGTGGGTTGGATGACGCCGAACCCGGATACTGTACTGGCTGACCCATGGTTCGGGGCGGCACTGCCTGCCCCTGGCTGGCAAAGTGTTGCCATGCTGGCGAAACCTCTCCGCCGATTTGTGGGAGGCACTTCTCCCCCTTTGTTTGCCATCTTCAAGATCCATTGCCGTCTGGCCTGTACGCTTCGGCATGCGTGCAGGCATTGGTGAGTACACAGCTTCTTGCACGGGATGGCCAGCCAGGGAC